CCCCCAGATCAGCTGCCCTCCACGACGGCTCGCCGGGATCAGCCCCGAGCGCCCGCGGCCCCGCCCCGCCCCCAGGAGCTGGGCCCTCCCATCGCGCCCTCTGAGGCGAGGAAGAGAACTGCTTTCCCCGGCCGCAGACCCGGGCCCAGCACTGCTGGTCCTCACTAGCAGGAGCTGCCCCTGTCACGCGGTCCTACAGCCGCGGCGGGGGTACCTCGCTGCTGCCAAGCGGGTCAGGTGGGCGCGGGCCGTGGGGCTTGGCGCGGTGGCCGCCCCCCCAGCAGCCGCAGTGGTACAGTCCGCTGGAAAGACTCGGGGCTGCCGGAGTCTCCGCGCCCGCACTGGGTTGGCGGCTCCGCGGAGCAGAGGAGGGCGCGGCGCGGTGCGGCGCTGCGGGGGCAGTGGCTAGGGCTGCTGCTACCACCACCGCCACCCCCCCTGTGGTGGCTCTCACTATTTCCTCCCCCCCTTTCTCAGTCAATTCTTCTTTGAAATTTTTACCTCTGACCTTTTCTTGCTTGGTGAGTATTTTTTTTCCCCTTCTTTCTTCTTCTTCAGCTGCTTCCCCCCCCCCCCTTCTTTTGACTTCTTAGATGCAATTATTAACTTTAAAAAATATTTCCAATAAAAGGCTTTTGTATCTTTTTTTCTTTCTTTCTTTCTTTCTTTTAAATAAGACCTTTTTAGTCGTCTTATTTCTGTCCCCAACCATAGAGGTTTGGCAACTAAACTTGTGTTCTGCTGCACCCCTCCCAGATTTTTTTTTCCTGTGATTCTTCTCTTAGATGTTTACGTAAGGTGCTTTTAAACATATTGATTTGTATTTTGAAAGTGTCTGGCTCTAAGCAGTTCTCTGCTCTGATCTCAAAAGCATTTGTCCCCCTCTTGTTACAGGTGCAAATGTTTGACTGATGTATGTGATATCTATTCTTTTTTTTTTTCTTTTAACTTCTACATTTTCCCCTATATATTCTTTCCCCCCGCCCCTCTCTTGGTTATTACAGTCATGGGTTCTTGTGCCTTGCAATTATTCATATTTTCTTGAAGATTTAAATTTAAAAAGATATGTGGATGTGCTGCTGGAAATGAGTCTTTTTGTTGTGTGGGGATTTTTTTTTGTTTTTTTGTTTTTTTTTCTTAAATCGTATTGTTTACAACTTTTTTTTTTGTTTGTTTGTTTTTCTTGCAAGTTTTGACCTGACTCGGTGTCTTCCACCTGTATAGTAATGCAAGGAGAATGAGAAAGGAGAAAAGAGGACAGAAGTGCTAGCAGCTGTAGGATGAGAAACTTCTGTGGTTTTTAAAACAAGTTGGTAAAATCCTGACCCCACTGAAGCCATTAGTATAGCCTCCATTGACTTCACGGAGAGTAGGATTTTTAACTCCTGGGCGTGGAATAAAGCCTTCTCTGTTTTAGCTTCCCCTAAAGGAAACAATAAACAAGTTCTGATTGGACAACATACTGTTCCCTGTGTCTCAGCACTGTATTGATGGAACTATATCAACCCAGGTGTGTTTGTGTATTCTTTTTGTGGGGAAATGATTGTATGTTGGCTGGGTATATGCTGTGTCCAAAAGAAGCTTTTATTGATCATTGCAATCCAGATCTCTGTTTAGAAAAAGAGTGACTTTGTAGAAAAAATGACAGCTTACCTTACTGCTCTTGTAAAATTTAAGCTTCAGCATCTTGGGTGAAGGTTGCTGTTGTGCCTATTGGAACTTATTTAAGGTGCTTTGTACTAACCAAATAGATTGTGAATGCACTAATCAAACTCTGTGCTACCTTGAACACCACCTGAACAAAAGTGCTTTTTTTGTAGCAAATGGGGCCTCAAAAGACATTACCCTTACCTGTTGTTGTTATGTGTGTTTTTGTTTTTTGTTTGTTTTTTTGGGTGTTTTTGAAAGATGTAGTTCTCTAATGGACAGGAGTTCAAGTTGATAGTAAGTAGTACATGCAGACTGACTGAATGGCTGTTTTGAGACCAGAAACAGAAATCTACTTTTTCCAACCAATTGACAGCCTAAAGGCTTGGATATCTGTGTTGAACAGTAGGATTTGTGTCTGTGTCCCCCCCCAACTTGGCTATCAGCATGTATTTGGAAGGTATTCTGAACTCTAACATATTCCGCAACCAAAGAAAAAACCTAAGAAATGGCTCTTTTTACAGACTATCTGTGACCATGCATCTCAATATGCCTTGGTCTTCTCTGACTACATTCAAATATTGTGCTTTGCAGCAGTGGGGGAAAATGATAGAATTCCTTGGAAGGTTATACTGAGCTTCATATTCTAATGAGCTTGTCCCACAACTCAACAGGTGGCCCTTTTTCAGTGGCTCTTCAGTTTGAACTTTGCTAGAAATTACAGCAAGGGGTTTTAAGCTTGTATTTGGCAGCTCCCAAGGCATGAAGCATTTTATTTTGTATCGAAGTCATTAGAGACTAGCCCCTTATGGATAGGTGCCACACACATGCTGAACAATAGCTTATATCAATAGCTCTCCAAGTGTGGCATTTAGAAAGAAACTGATTTGGGACACCAGTTGTATATTATCAGGAATAAACTGAATAGGAGAGAATGTACAAGAACTTAGGCCTCGACTTGAGGCTAGACTTCATGGTCTGTCTCCATTTATCTACGCTTGCCCTAGATAATTTTTTACTTATTCATTTAATTTTTCTAGTGCTCCCTGGAATCAATGATAGTGTTAGTGTGATATTGTAGTCATGATGATCCAAGAATTGAGAGGCAAGGATTCAAGGCCAAACTAGATTTTTGCCCCCCAACCCCGCTTAAGTTATCTATGTTGTAAATGTTCCCAAAGGCCCTTTTCTGATGTGGGGGCTGATGACTTTTTCTCAAGAGTGCTTCAACAGTTGCTTTCAACCTAGAAGAGGAAGGAAGGCTGGTGTGTCAACTGGGCTTTGTGTATCAATCCACCATGATGTTTGCCATGACTTGGCTTTTTATGTTCCTCTCCTCTGGGAAAGTTTCATGTCCATATACTAAAGACAGTACATGGGAGAAAAGCTTCTAAGCCAGTAGTTCTCAACCTTCTTTCATTTGCAGACTCCTAAAAAAACAAAACAAAACAAAAAATTTGAATGAAGGTGTAGACCCCCAGTGTAGGTCTTCACATACTTTTGATGGATCATGGCCATCTTTTGCTTAAAGTGCAGACCCCTGGGTATCTGCAGACCATAGGTTGAAAACTACTGTTCTAAGCAATATGGTATCTGCGTCTGCTGATGACTTTTTTAAGGAGGAGGGTTTCTTTTTTTCCTTCTCCAGAATTATGGGTGAGTGGCAGCCAGGAAGTTAAGACCTATGTGAGCAAAATCTAAATCCTGGTGCACTGACCTAATATATGAAAAGAAAAAGACTCTT